TTGTGAGAGATTCGTCAGCGTAAATTGTTTGTTGTCTAAACTCATGCTGTTCGTCAATGTCTGTGTTATAATCGGTTAATGCAATTGCTCTAGTATATGCATCGTTAACTAATTCCATACGAATTGAGGACATAATGCAATGAAATAGAAATTATTCAAAAAAAGAAAGTTTAACGGGAATAAACCTCCGTGTTTTATTCCAAATAGATTATGATCGACCTTTGTTCTACGTAGCAAAGATCACATCAACGTGACTAATACTGCGGAAGGCACAGTCGTTGCATAAATGAACACTTTAAACCAATTGGAATATTATTCGGCTATCTTGTACGCAGCATTATTATATTTTTCGAGAAATATATTTCTAAACCCACCCAACCCATCGTACTAGATATTGGAATCGATTCTACCAAAACCGAATTGATCGCAAAAATACGAATATATATAACTGATGGATTTAGAAAATGTTAGAATGATCAAGAAAATACAGAAAATGTCGATAAACCAAAGTTCATTAACCAATACTAAAAAGTGATCAAATTGATATTATTTACTTTATTGGTCAAGATTTTAAGATTTTTAAAGTGAATCATATACTTTTTCGACAACAATATATTTTGATCAATCTGTAATTAAATATTATGGCTTCTTAAAATATCATCTTTTAATTTCTTGGGCAATATTTCATCATTAAGTTAAGTTCAACTTTGTTGAAATATCCATCAAAAATAAATATAAACCTAATCAATGGTATAATAAAACTTGACATTTTGTTGAAAAATGTATTCCTATAATTTTTAAGCTTAAAATTTTCAAATACTATAAAAGCTTATGGAGTAATCTTCGGTCTTTAAACTTATACAATAAGAGAACTTTGCTTTCCCAAATACAAGTAGAAAAGTATAACTTAGACTATTGAGGCTCTTTTTAATTAATGTCTTAATCTTTAGCTGGTCTTTAATCTTTCCCTTTACCTGAGTTTGACGAGCATCCGTCCTTTCAATTTTATTACCAATTGATTCCTCAATATTTTGCTTTTCAATCTTAGCAAAATTTAACTATAGTAAAAAAAAAATTTAATCATTTTTGAATTTAGCCTAACAGTATTTTGTATTTTGTATTTTGTATTTGAAAATCAATTAAATCTAGTAATTGCGTACGAGAGTAATCCTTTTCTTTTTTTTTAAAAAAAAAATTGAATAATCTAACCTATTAAATAAAAAATACTACAAAAAATAAAAAATTAATTTGATATTAAAAAAATCACATATCGGAGCCAAATAACATAATTTAAAACATTAATGAAAAAACAAATAAAATTAAAAAAAATATACTGCGTACATCCAAGAAAACAAAAAAATTAATAAAAAAAAATATTCTCGAACTTACGAAATAATCGAACCTAAAAAGTAGTAAAAAAAATTATTCTGGAATATATAAACCATTTAATAACACATCATCTTAATAAGCTGGGTTAGATACCTAATTATTATAAATATAAATTTTAAATTTTTTTTTGATAAATTACAGTATGTAGCATGATATTATTGGTTTCAATTATTTTATACGATCATAGGACAGAAAAATATTCATAGGTTTTTATTTCTAATAATAAATTATAATTTTTAGGATGTCAATTGAAATAGTAATCAAGTTTATCTCTTTAATTTTTAATTTTCATATAGAAAGAATTTTCATTTAATCAATTTTTGTCGGAAATGTACCAGTACAAGCAATTCGTGCTATGTAAATAAAATTTTTGCATTCAATTTATGATTAAAAAAATCGCTAAGCAATAAATGAAATCGATTAATCAAATCTTAGAATCAAAACACGCGAAACTAGTGTTGCAATCAGTTCTTTAATGTTTATATTTATAAACGAATGTAAAATATAGCAGAAAGATTTTTAATTATGTAATATTTATGCAAAATTTTTAATAAAAATTAAATATATCAAGTCATCGCTTTGTACTCTTTTATTAAATGCCGATCTTGCGAAATTACTACGGCTAAAAAAATAATCTAGCTATATGATATTATAATATAATAGTCATTTAGGAGTTTGTCTATTCGTACCCAGGTATCAATTCCTCCTTTTATACCTAAAAATCGGAAGAACGACTTTCCCAGAGGACAAGTTGACTCGAGGTTTTTTTGGCCAGTGGTCTGGCCGGAGGCAATTCGTCCCGTGGTCAATTTGTCCAGTGGTCAATTTGACCTACGCTCTACATCGAGCATACTAATTAAAAATAAAAATACAACAGTTTATTAATTTAACTATTATTGTAACACTAGTATTCACGATTAATCGATAAAGATTTAAAAACGTTATAAGAGAATGATCGTAATTACTCTAGTTCATTCGTAATTAATGAATTAAATCTGCAATTCGAATACAATCGCCATAAATTTGTATTCATTTTAATGTTGAATATAAAAAAAATTTGCAAGCTCTAATTTCTTTATTAAAAAAAATATAATTTTTACAAGAAATTAATAGATAGATAAAGGAATAATTCATCATCATAGAATTCGATCAAAAGTCTTGAAATCCTAAAAATAATACTATACTCATTTAGTTTTTGATAACTTTCACAACGTCGCCACCAAATATGTAGCCGAATTATTTGCCGGTTAGGGTTTCTGGCATTTCATTGTTTTATTCATAAGTGAATCAACGGTATATGATTAGGATAATATTGAATATGTATGTATGGAAATCTAAATAAAATATTCTCGGGAAAATTTTTTTTTGTGAGAATAGTGCTATTTGTCATCTACCTGATACAAGTAATGAGAACGTAGAGTCAAAATTTAAAATATAATGTTGGCGGCTGAAATTCATCAGTAACCTAATGAATATTGTTGCACGCAGTTCGAGACGTTTATAGGTTATAAACAAAAGAAAAAGGTAAGCGGAAGGTTTCTTTATTTAATGTTTTATTTATAACAATTGAATTCTGACATAAATCTACGTAAATAAGGTATTGCCTTAATCGTCGGCGCTCTATACGATCAGATACGTAATTTATTAATATACTTTCGTTATCGTTACAAATAAAAGGGGAAGGGGATATATGCTATACCGATATACTAATGTTATCTATTGTTATTGTCTAGGGAACATAGGGAACACACTTTTTATTCAGCGAAATCCAACCTTTTTTATACTTAAATTTCAACAAGGACCAATTGTTCGGAGGCCTTTTTGTCTTCGAAACATAATGGCCGGATAACATATTGGCCAGGAGACAAATTGGCCGTTGGCCAGGGCCATTGTACTACAAAAAGTCTAACTAAATACTAACAAACTTAAAATTAAACTAAACAGAAATGCCCTGGAACTAATAGAACACGATAAAACAATTAGATTTCGACATATCAGGTAATGCAGCACGTGACTTTAATATTTTTTAAATATATAGATATCGAATTTTGATCCTTACAGGAAACTTAAACCTTACCACTACATAATTTTTATATACCTTCTACCTTAATTCACGAAGTTCATTATGTCTATTTGTCACGTTCGAGCAGCCCCGGAAATATTCATAAGAAGTATTGTTCCTTACGAAAAGTGGTCGCTTTAATATTATGATACATTTTTTTGTACCAACTTAATAATACATTTTTCAACAAGTTTATTGCCGCTTCTTTCAAATTATGACTAACCTCGTCTACCTTATTATGAGTTTTTAATTTTGATAATTATGGTCACGATAAGACGATTTGAATATGCTCCGAAAATAGTATCGTTGTCCAAGAATTCTTAAGCAAATAGGTAATTTATAAAAAGAATAAGAATATAAATTTAGTCAGATAGGCTTTCCCATGTTCTTGTACTATTAAATGGGGTGATTAATACTACAAGTAATGCTACTCGTAACTAAACCGTAGACTTGCGGCAGGGTCGTAGATTTATGAAATATTATATGCTACGCACTATACTATATAATTTCCTGATGTAGAAAAAATTTCTAACACATAGATATCCATCTCCGAGCAATTTAATAATTACAATTAATTGATCGTGAATAACAATTTCAACTTCTAATGATTCTCTATTTAAGTAGCTTTTTAATATAACACGTTAGCTTATACAATGCCCTTTATGTATAATTTGCTCTTATATCAATGTGTCAATTTTGAAACAAATAATTCATTGAAATACCTAACGTTACTTGTACTTTTAACTCAGTGATTTATATTGGATTGATTTGTGGAGGGATATGATGCATAATTCATCTTCGATTGGAGCATTGGCATCTTTATCATTTTTTTTTAGATGAGCGTTATAAACGACCCAAAATTCAAACGTTATCTCCTACACTTTTTACTCTCTACCCTTGCAAGAAATGCTGGTCAACCTCTGTTGAAGTTGTCCTGACTGCAGGATAATATCAACGAAAATGACTTATGGAAGATTAAAAATTTTTTTTAAAATAATAATGGAATGTATCTTATTTATATGTTGTATGGCTGAAAAGCCGTTTTAACATGACTTATCGTCATGATAGAAATGGAAAACAACGTCCAATTTATATATTTTTGGATTCTTCATTAATATAATAATTTACCGATTTATAAAAGTATTTTTATGGGATTATTTTTCCATGAAAGTCAATTAAATAAACATTTAAAATTTTCTACTACAAAAAAAGCAACTTTTTTCTTGTTTAAAAAGATATATAGTCCTAATCGGTTAATCTGATTAAAAAAAGGTAAACTTTTTATTAAAAAAAAAAAAAAACAAAGTACGTTCTTATTTTCGCATATCTTTATAAGGGTGTTTTAATATGATTGGTTGCTAACTTAACTTGTGCGACCGTACTCAAGACTAAAGATTCCACACATGAAAGTTCAAAAGACCAACAACAACAACAACAACAGCAATCGTAAAAACAGCAAACAAAATGAAGCAAATAAATATTATCAATGTAAGGAACCGTTCATCTCCAGCATCCCATTTATCATGAAGTCATTCATCTCGCTAACGAAATGGAACTACCCGAAGAAATTATCAGTGCACTACAACAAATCATTCCGTTGGACTTGCCAGGATTGTGCATTGCAATTTTGCGAGTCCGAAACCGTATGGTATTTTACAATATGCTATTTTTCTGAATACAACTTTACACCGGTATTGATAATTATTGAGCTGAATATGAAATGTATGCTTAAAGATTATTTTGTTAAATTGCAAATTATTTTATATATTGAAACCCTTATATTTTCCTATTACAGATATTTCAAGACCAAACCTAAAAAAAAAGAATTTTTATGAAATATTTTATCTTATTATCGATATTTTGAAATTAACTCATATTTTTTAATTATTATTTTCTTTTATATTTTATAATAATTTTTAAAACTATAAAATGTTCGTCATTTTGTTAGATAATGCCAGGAGTAAATAAGAACAGACGACCTAATAGGACGACATTAATAGATTTTAATGAAGAACTAATCCTTCTTGAGCTAGACCTGTGAGCGTCAGAAGAGTTATTTATTTATTTGCGATACTTTAATATTATTATGGTATATACTAGTTTTTAATAATTAATTTCCTCTTTAGGAAATTAATTATTAAAAAAGTAGCATTTTGAATCATTTTTCTTAAAAAATCATATTTAAAAATTTCGCATTAAAACGTTAAGCTTTTAAATTATTGAATTATACGTTTTTATAATTAATTAATAAACTCTAAATTTATAAACACACTTATTACAAAAAAAAAAAAAAATTTAACTTAAAAAATTAATCAACCAATAAGGTTTGATAGACGAGGCCATAATGAGCCAATAGAAAACGTATATTCTTATATTACTTAAACATAGGAACATAGGCATGTGGTTCGAAATAATTCTACCATCACACTCGAAAGTGATGTAAAAAATATCTAACAAATCAATAAAAATGAAATGATCGAAATTTTGGTCTATTAATGTAATAATTACGAGGTTTGCAAAAAAAAACCTCGGCCTTGACGAATCAACTCGAAACATTTTTGCAAGTACAGACTTTTGAACAAATTGCTTCGAAATTATTTTTTTTTAACAAGCATTATTCTAAAAAATAAAATTTTAACTCGTTTTACTACCAATTTTAATAATAACCCACAGATTCTCTATCAGATTAAGGTCAGGACTATATGTAGGAAGGCCAATCAAGAATCGCTGAGACCCAGCGATCAAGAAGCTTGGATGTTTCTTTAGTTTCTTTAGCCTTGTGTTTTTGGTCATTATCTAGTGGAAGACCCAAAGTGATGGCATGACTCTTGTATTTTCAAATAGCTAATGTAGCAGAGATTAATTGAGGGTTCGCATATCCCTTCAAAGCCTAAAAAGAAGTGATGAAGGTGATTATTTAAAATTTCAAGATAAAGTAGATAAAGTAGCACAATCCATGTTTTGAGTAAACATATGGTTCCGCATGTTCCAACTTTATAAAAGCTTTCACAGAATTTCGAAAACTCTGAAAGTTGTTTCATCTGAAAATACAACAGTTTTCTAGTCTTATTCGGGGTGGGCGGTATCCACTACACGCGACGTGCTCATAGCTTTGTAGTAAGGTACTATTTTTGGATGACTTGAACCACGGTTAAATTTCTGGTTGATATTTAAACCATATTTCTTAACAGGAACGATACTTGTCATTTTGTATGATTCTTGCTAATATAGTTCAAAATTTTTGACGCGAAGTGGTTTTTTTTTTTTTTAGTTGTGCAAATTTTCCAAGGCTCATTGACAGTTACTCGTCGTCTGCAAGTGAGAGACTTTCTCCATTTCTCCGAAAATAAATTTTATTATTTTTTTTTTTTTCTTAGTGCTTACAAGTTTTTAATAAGACAAAACGATTTCTAAACTAAAAATCAACGCTTTCGTAAAAAAGTAAAAAAAAAAAATATATATATATAGAATTTTTTTCTTTTTGCTTTCTATGAAAGAAGATTAACCAGTTTTTATATGCGTTACTTTTTATCTATTCTACAAAAAAAAAAAAAAAAAAAATTCAGGATAGTATTATTTTAAATCAAATCGTCAAAGTGCGCTAATACAAATAAAAGAAACAGAAAGAAACGCTATTACGTGCAACGCACGCAAAGTCAATTTAAAAATAGTGGACAAAGTTTTGGTGGATAGCTCGTGGCGAAAGTTAAATTTTTTCAGCAAAAATAGTGTTTTTTTTTTTCCTTTCGATCATACTTTATTAAAATTTTTTTGTTTCAAGATTTATTTTTTCCTATTTAATTGCTTTTCATCACATCACACAGCCTTGAATGAAGACCCCGAATGAATTTTAATGTACAAAATGCTGCGATCGAATTTTATCATGAAAAATATTTATATTTAAATGCAATTAAGGCATTTATTTACCCCAAATTTTACAATTGAAAAGTACAAACGAAATGTTTTTAATCTTGATTTAATTTTTATTATTAGGATATATAGCACGACAAATTATTAATCTCACAAAATAAATAAAAAATGGTAAATTGATCAATGGCCGACCTACAATTACCCGGGACAATCTATAATTTGTAAATTTAGGCTTCGTTTGTGCTCTTGATGAAAAATTTCTTAACTCCAAAAGTAGATATAGAGAAAATAAAATTGTAAGGGAACCGATTTTATATATATGGCACTGCTCTGAATTTTGTTAAAAAAATTGTTAAAAAATCCAAAATCCATTCTCTAAAGATTTTTTTTTTGACTTCTTTGGTTCTTTTCAGGTACTATTGCTTCCTTATTTGCAGAAGGATCAAAGTAAATCCAATCAAAAGTAGAAAAAAAAGAATAATTACAACATAAAACTTAACCGACAAAAAAAAATCACAGCCCGCCCGAAGAAAGTAGAAAACAAAAAAAAAAAAAAAAAAAAGATCTGAAAATAAATAGAAATTCGATCAGAACTTGAAAAGATTAAATAAGTAAAGTAAATTATCTATACTTATGAAACTAATTCTATATCTTTAAATTGCACATGTTTTTTATTATATATATTTTTTACTAATTTATTTTATATCAAGGTTAAATATCATTACCAATTTTATCTAATTAAATAATTAATTCTATTTCTTTACTTTTAAGATTTTAAATTTTAAATTATAAACATTTTTTCCTACCAAATTTACTAAATTTGTTCAAAATTGATAAATGAGCAAATTTTTTAATATTATATAATTCTCGTAAATTAATTTTTATCATTAAATTTCTTTACAAAAGTATCAGCTTCTTTGAACTTTTACCATTGACAACCTACATGATTCTTTATAATTTTCAGCTGTTTGATATATTTTAATAATTTCTTTAGATTTTTGAGACATAGACATAAATGATAAAATACTCAAATAAATTTCTTCATTTAATGTCAAATATTATTTTTTAATATATGTTTATAGTTTAATTTAGAAATAATTTGTATTGGATGAAGCTTACCTAGAAATTACTCGTACGTAATTTGTAATATCACTTTTGTCGGAGCAGCACGAGATGATCCAGTTGGATTTGTTGTGTCGAACATTCTCGTTACTAAACGAGCAAAATAAATATACTCGATATACTAGCTGCATAATCTATTGATCTCATACTGCATATAAGTGGATTGATTAGTTATAAATTGGAAAAAAAAATTTTGCTTTTACCATCAATATATAAACAGATCCGGACATAAATGAAAACATTCGAAACGATCCTGTTTAATTAGTTGACAATGTTTTTTAAAATAGAGGGATCTTCGTGTCGTGTTAAGTGTTCTTTTGATATGAGGTGAGTAATTGTTTTTTAATACTCAAAATTGTTAAGTTCTGTATACATAGCAATAGGGATTTTGGTTTTGTTAATTTCAAAAGAATAAAGAAAGATTACATTCTAGAATAGAATACTTCCTCATCAAATAACAATAGGATTTCTTTATTCATATCCGCTTTGGTAACGAAAGCGGGCTTTTTATTAAATTCGCAAACTTTCCTCTTCTTTCACAGGCATATAATTATGAATTAAACGAAGCTCTAGTTCGAATTAAATCCTAGTGTTAAAGCAAAGAATTTTTCAAGAAATTCTGTTACTTTTTTAATTTTTTTATCCGCTTCTTCAACACTTGGTGATTTATTGTATCTTTCTGTGCTGAATTCATTTAATTCCTTATGGTCAGAGGTGAAGTAGCCATTTTTTAGAGCACCATACATACAATTTTTCACTTTTTTTAAATTTTAAAAATTTTAAAAAAAAATTCCAAGTTTTTATATTCATATCTTCGGTTGTTTACACGCATCAATACCAATAATATTGTCACGAGTGGTGTTTTATTATTACTGCCTCTGCCGGCGCTCTGTAATAGGCCTAAGAAGAATAGAACTATCTAATGAAAATTCAAGGAGAAATGTCCTCCATATTTCCTTCCCATGGTTCCGTTACGGAATCTTTGTAAGGAATTAATAAGCCTGCGGCTTGGATGACGGAAATGCTTATTAATTGATTTCTTGATGTCAAAAATGGTCATTTGACATATATATTCCAACAGATAAACCAGAAATGACAGCAAATTCCGAGGGCGTCCACAAATCTAGAAGATTATTTCTGGTTAACGACATCAAAATCTGAACTCCTCTTTAGGATTCTGTTCTTTTAGATTCCTTTAAGGTTTCGACAAAATATCTCATACTGTTTGATAGTGCATTTATAAATAATTTCAATTTAAAAATTCATTTTAACAAATTATAAAAAAAAAAATTTCTCGAATTGAACATTAATAAATTTATGAATTACCAATATAGAAACCGTTAGTGCCACCTCTTGCTTCTAAGAAGTTGCTAATTTTCACCAGGCCTTCTGAAAAATCATTGATACAATTCGGCCTTTATCAAAAGCTGCAAGATTTCTATCTCTAAATAAACAAAGTTATATAGATATTAATCAAAATTTTTAACCTATTATTATACTTTGTTATCTGGTTCGGCTTGATAAGCTGCTTTGATTACAGATTCAAAAAACTATTGTGGGTTCACTAAGGAAAAAATAAAATATATTAATTAAAATCCATATAAATTATAAAAGCTTTTCTTCATCCATACTAGTAACTAAATTTGAAGTATCCACTTAATCCAACCTGGTGCTTCAACGCTTTTTGCAATTTTAAACTTGACAAAGAAACTCCGTGCATATTAAGAGAGGTCAACATAAACTCATTTTATATAAAATTTCTTTTCGACTAAAAAAAAGCAAATATTTATTAGCGTAGTAACTTATAAAATCTCGTAACAATGGTGATCAACAAACCTAAATAGCTAAGAGCATCACATATAGATCAAGTGTAGAAGGTCATTAATTAATAAAGATATTTTTCGGGTTTGATATTCTATCCGCATCATGGATAATAATAATAATGATCTTTTGTACAAGTCTACGAAGGAAGTGATATCTTTTGAAATCCATGTTCATCATGGAATACCCATTCCCAACTCGATCACATCATCAGGTAAAGAAGAACTTGAGTTGTTCCCGGAACTGTAGAGCGATCAGACAATACCATTGATTCCAAAATTTTCAGCATCTTCAAAGCTTGCCCTGAAATTTAGTAAAATTTCAAACTTATTTTAACAAAAGGGAAAACATTCCTAATTATGCCATGCCATGCCCTTTATCAGCCATAGCTGCAACTTTGTGCACCAAGATTGTATCGGCCAAACCTCTACTATAAAACTAATCCACCTAGTAGCCTCAATTCCAACAACATTTAGTTAACTTGAGTTCCTTCGGCTTTTGATCTAATTAAAAAAATTCCGTTAATTTTTTACAAATAATAGAGTACCGTGAGTTGATACTACACGATGAATTGCTGCTAGTTTGAGAAGTTGATGGTGATGCAAAAATATTCACTGATTCCTGAGGTCCAACAAAATCTGCCTAAAAAACTAAGTTAATAAATTTAACATTAAAAGAAATAAAAGAAACTGAAATCTAATTTTACATATTGGCTCATGACCAACTCCACCTAATATGAACATCGAAGTTAACACATTTGGAAATATCAAGCAATAATATCTTAATTATAAACAATACCGTGTCTTTTTTTTTTAATATCATCGTTTCAGTACTATAGACATCTTTTGAATATATCAATTTTAATTATCCAAGTTAAATTTATCTGAACAAAATTTTTTTTTCCTTTTCAATAAATCTTAATGAGGGAGAAGATAAACAATTGGTTTAGAAATTCAAACTCGAATTAGTAATTTCAATAAATAACTGATATTACCACGTTATTTGAATCATTAACGAAATGCTTAGGAATGAAATCTTTCAAAATCATAAAATCAAAATTAAGGTGATGATCGGCCTGATTCGGATCGCCATAAAAGACGCCTCATTTTGATGCAGACGCGTATTTTTCTTCTTCAAATTTTTAATTTTTTTGAACTAAAGAACACTCTAACCCAGTACAGATTTTGGACAGGTTTGGACAATTTCATATATCCAAACTTTGTCCAAAGCATTTAAAATTAAAAAATGTGTCCAAAACCCATCACTGCTTTGGCTGGCCGTTCTGGTAAGTCTTGCAAAAAGTATTTAACTTGCAATCCTTTCCTTCTTATTTAGCTTCTAACTAACCTTTGATTTCTAGTCCTTATTTCTTATCTAAATAAATGAGGCATTAAATCAACTTACCAAGGTTTTTTGAAGTTTGTCGTAACGAAGTCTCACCGTTTTCAAAAAGACTAACGTTGCTTTGATGAATTTGGGCTTGAAAGTTTTTGAAAGAAGCGGAATATCTCGAATCAAATAAAATTACTTTAGAGGATTTAAAAGAAAAGGTGTGCCGTTTTGGTTTTATTTTGCAAAGTTAAGGTAACTCCTAGGAGGATGCGTTCTGACTCAGGAGAATTACTGTGTTTGTTGGCTTGGTATCCACTCCAATCTTTCAAATCAGGTGCCCTAAATGCTTCTGAAGGAGGAACTGGCTATGTACCTTCTATACCATTAAATAAAAAACTTTGACAGTATACTAATAATAACTTGCTCATGATAGGTAAAAGAACGTTCACAACATAAGCAAGATTTGCAAAAATTCTGGAAGGGGCAATCAAAGAGCGTGAAAAAGAAAATCAACTTGCCATCTGGTAAGTAATGTTTTATATTCGTTAATAATGTATTGTATTAAATACTCTGCTTGCTTCACATTTATTTTGCTCAATAATCATTAGAATCTAGGAAAAAAGGGTAGAAACGAAGACTTATCGAGCTGGAGTTTTTATCAGCAATACCTCCACCAATAAATTATTCTGACTTAGATAAAAGCACTACAACTACTAAGTCATTTACTGCTCGAACTCCATCTCCAGTAAAGAAGTTAACTCATCAATTTGACGATAATATTAAATCATATCCACGTCCAACTTTTAAAAGTTATGATAAATCATATGATATCTCAAATGAAGAAGCTGTAAGAGGAGCTTTAAAGAACAATGTATTTGATATCTTCATATCATTACAACTAAGGATGCAGACCTTTTCTTTCTTAAAAGTTATGTCAATTCATCATACGTCATGTCACAAATATATATAACAAAGTACAAAGTCTGCATCCCTAATTACAACTTCAAGACAGCCAATGTAGGTATTTTAGCGAATTGCAAAGGAGGATAATGTTATTGGAGAATCTAATTTTAATGCTAAAAAATAATACCAACTTACATGTGATCAGTTAGTCTCCGACTCTGGAAAAATGACTGATTCAATCTTACAAATAAAAAAGAGAATATCACGTGAGAAATTATTTTTACCAATTGAAGTTAAAACCCTCTTAGATACTATTATTTTCATAAGAGATATGAATATGATTTGGAGAGAAAAACATATGAAAATAAAACTTTAGAAAATAATATTTTGCATATTATAAAGAAACTTTAAAGGAATCTAAACAAACATGAAAGTGAATTTCTAAAAGAATCACAATCTTTGATCAGTTTGGATTCTTTTCAGATTTGAATTAAATCTGAATTGAAAAAAATTCAAATTGATCTAAAATTTTTGGATTGAATTGAATTGAAAAAATTTTTTGAATTGTATTTAATCTATTCAAAGTTTTATTTATAATAAAACAAAATGGATTAAAATTTCTTTTATTTTACAGCAATAATATATTTTAAATATTAAGTATTAAATATTTATTAATTTTATATATTATTAAAATTTCTTATAATAAAATTATTAACATTAAATAATATATTATATTAAATTAAAATCGCATAATAATAAGTAATAGCTCTCTATTTTTGTTATTTATATCCTTTATATAATAACTTGCTACATGATTGAATGATATAAAATTATGTAATCTGCTTTATTATACTATATATTAGTTTAATATAAACCTACTAATCATGATTAAAACTTTTTCTTACAGTTTATTATTTATTGTCAAATTTTCAATTGGTCTATAATTATTAATATACTTTTATTACTTCTTACTGAATATAAAAGTGTTGATAAGCTTTTTCAAAATTCTTAAACTTTTGTAATTTTTCAAGATTATGCATTGTCATAAAGAATTGAAAAATATGACTTTATATTGTGATCAAGATGGTATTTAAAATAATTCTTTAGGTCTTACTAAAGAAATGCTAAAAGATAAGATTGGTTAACTATCTTTTGAATTTTATGCTACCAAAAATAATAATTTATGGTATTTAAAAGTTTGCATTATAATCATTATTATTCAGAAATATATTAGAAAATCCAATTACTTGTTATCTTATAGAATAATATTTAGAAATTGCAATAGCAATAACTATTGCTAGTTTATATTTATGAGAAATTTTATTAACTCTTTATCAAAATAATGCAAAAAAAATTGATTATTAATAGTAATATCTTTATACTCATAAATAGTTTTATCAAAAAAATTTTAGACTGCTCATACTTGAATTCTTTATTTATATAAGCTATATTTTATCTTATTTATAAAAAATACAAATTATAAGAATATTTATATATTACATTATTTTTAAATAAATAATTTATAATAATATAATAATTAATACATATAAAAAATATAATCTAAATATTATAAATATTAAAATTATATTAAATATAAAAATAATAATAATAAAAATATTTTTGCAAATTCTTATAATACAGTAATTTTTATATTATCTAATATAAATATTTAAAAAATATATTCTTAGATTTAAACTATTAATCTCTTATAGTAAATTAATATAATAATCTATTCTGAATTAGAATTTATTGCAATATAATCTATAATAAGGTCTTAGTTATTATCAATTAAAACAGATCATTAATCTGATTTTGATTAATAATTTTCTTTAACAGATATAATAATATAATAAAGAATTAATTTTTTGCTAAAACAAATTTATTTAAAAAAAAATTTTCTCTTTATTTATTTCAATTGTTTGTGATTAAATTCTTAATTGGATCTGAATTACTAATGTATTATTAATTTTTAATTATTTTATAGTTTAAATTTATTCTAAATATTTTTAAAAAGAATAAACTTTACAAATATATATTATATAACTATGTCTTGTAAACAAATGGGTCTAATTCAAAAAAATTTCAGTTCAGTTCAGTTCAGTTTGGATTGCAAAATATTAATTTGAAAAATTTCAAATCAGTTCAAATTTTTTTTTGAATTACAATTTAATTTGAATAAAAAATCTGAATTAAACAAATTCAATCTGAAAATTTCAGATTAATTCAAAATTTTTTTAGTCAAAAGTTAATATGTTCAAATTTTCAGAATAGTTATAATGACTAAATCTAAACATTTAAAAGTAATTATTACTACTAAAATTTTTGGATTAATCTGAAAATTTTCTGTTCAAATCAAATTATTTATGAATTTTAGATCAATTTAATTCAAATATACCTTTTTTAGATTTATAATTTAAACTGAATTAAATTGAAATTTCAGTAAAAAATATATATAAATAAGAAAATATTTATTTTTCAATTTATTAATTAAATATAAGTTTTAATAAAAAAATACTTTTAATATCTCTTTACTAATCTTATTCATAAAAAATTAAAATACTAAGAAAAGATATTATAATAATAATACTTGCTAAAACTAGAAAAGCATTTAATAATTTGATCCTTGATAAGTAAAGCCCTATAATTTACTTTACAATTATAACTAAAAAAATATAGATCGAGCATTTATATTTCTTTAAAAAATACTACTTTTATTAATTTATATGATAATTATTTTTATACTAAATTTTTCTTTTATTGAAATAATTAATAATTTAATATTTTTGGTTATATCACGATTATCCAAATGCTAATTTCCCGAATATACCTTTTCCCGAAATCAAGTTTGATAAATGCCAATTTCCCGAACTGGACATTTTATCAAAACATACAATTTCCTGAATGCCAATTTCCCAAAACCCAATTTCTTGAGTAGACATTTTCCCGAATTTTAATTTCCCAAAACCTGAATTCCGACATTCCGAACACTTAATATTCAGAATCCCAATATCCTGAATGTTTATATTCCCGAATCCTTATATCCCAAATAGATAATTTTCCAAATCCCTATTTCCCGAATAGACAGTTTCCCTTTCTAAATATATAATTGAATTTATTTAAGAAAAAGGAAATTTTTCTAATTTATCTTATTAAATAAAATATTCTTAATTGCATTGGATTGACATTGTATTAAAACAAATAAATAGTAATAATGATAATAAAAAGTTTTTCAATAAATAAAATTTATAATACCTTGTCTATTAATATATTCAGAAGCACAATTAATACAAAAATCTTTCGAAGGGCATATTTTGTCATAACTCCTACACAATTATGTTTATATTTCAACTTTTATTATATATTTCATTACAAGACATCCTATATTACAAAGAATTTCAATTTTCATTAATGCTCACATTCTTATAGAGATTTTTTCGCACATAAAGAACAAGGATCTATACAATATTTGTTTTGTTACATAATGTATATTTGCATCTTACTATACATTTATCATTATAAGATGGATATGCATTCCTTTTATAAGTATATTTCGCATATTTATGTTTGCAAAATAACATTTTTATGTTTTATTCAACAAACTGTATAGTATGGTTTCTATATATAGAACGTATGATTTTTTACTATAAAATTTTTCCATACATGTATTGTTTTTTTAAAATTTAATATACATACTGAATTTTTTTAATGTATAGTAAAACTTAAGCACAATGAACTGTTATTTATATTCTTTCCATTTTTGTTTAATTATTTTTTTGGGATATTTTAAGCTAAAAAATTGTATATAATAAATGCAAAATTCAATGAATACTCTAATCGTGAATTACAAATTAAACTTTCTTTTTATTTGTTAAGTTTCATTAGGTTTATGAATATTCATTTTTGTTAATTTTTTAATTATGATGTTTGGTGAAATTAGTTGAATTCTGATTGGCAAATCAATAAATATATAATATTTTTTTTTAATAATGTTTGACTTTGAAAATCTTTTATATTCCCATTACATTTTTCTAAAAATTCAATCAAAATGAGCCGTGTAGTATGTGAAAAGGTTAAATCTACATAGGGAAATCCAAAAATAAATGTATATGGATATTTATATGTAAAAGATAAAAATAATGATCAGAAATATTACTGGGTTTGTGAGTCAAGAAAAAGTAAAAACTGCCATGGAAAAGTTACAACAGATTTAGAAGGCGAAGAACATATATTGAAAAGTACTCAAAATCATTGTCATGCACCAGAAGCAAGCTGAGTAGATATTATTAAAATACTTGATATAATAAAGGAAGCAGCATGTTATACACATGATCAACCTATACAGATAATTCGAGATGCAGTTGTTCATATGAATCAAAATTCATACTTCTATTTGCCAAATAAACAGGCATTAAGAAAACAGATTTCACATGTTTGATTTAAAAACAAACCTCCATCACCACAAACACTAGAAAAAATTAATATTCCTGTTGAATTACGTAGAACCATCGATGGTGAAGAATTTTTAGTAAGAAATATAGAATTTAATAAAGAAAGAATCATGATCTTTTGTGCAAAATCTAATCTTCAACATTTAACAGATGTTGAATATTGGATAATGGATGGGACCTTTAAAACAGTACCTATACTATTTTTACAAATGTATACCATACATGCATTAGTTGGTGGTGAAAGTAATGCACATGTTTTACCTATGGTATATGTATTGATGACAAGAAAATCAGAGGAATATTATGCTCGATTATTTCAAGAATTAACTGATTTAGGTGATAAAGCTAATCTGATTTTAAATCCACCTTTAATACTTACTAATTTTGAACAAGCAGCAATCAATGCAGCGCAAAGTGAATTTTCAAAATTCATTCACAAATGTTGCTGTTTTCATTTATGTCAGAATTTTTGAAAAAAATCCAAACTTCAGGATTAGCAGCTAAATATAAAATAAATAAGGATTTTAGTCTTAAATTACGTCATCATACAGCTTTAGCTTTTTTGCCATCATTTGAAATTCCAGATGCATTTAACCAAATCAAGCCTTTAATACCTTCAAATGCACTTGCAGTTATACAATATTTTGAAGATAATTACATTCATGGTAAAACTTGAAGAGTTCTTAGAAATAATATAAATGAGCGTCGAAGTCCACCACTATTTCTACCAAACCTTTGGTCTATATATGATCTTATTGAAAATAATCATCCAAGAACACAAAATATTATTAAAGGATGGCATCAATGATGGCTTACATTAATTGGAAATAATTATGTAGATGTTTATATAATTATTGAAAAAATGCGAACTGAACAATATTAAACTCAGTTGCAAATAGAAAGTATCCTTCGTGAAGAACCTTTAATACCCAAACATAGGCATCAAATTATTCGCAAAAATCACATTTTAAATGTTTTTAATAATCGTGATGATTACACACTTGTTGATTTTTTAAGAGGAATAACGCATAATATTTCTTTTTGATCATCATTGTTTATCTGTGATTTAAATTTTCATTTTATTTTTAATTAATAAAGTAAAGATTATCTTTTATTATAAATTATTTTATGAATCAGAAATTGGCCATAATACCATAAAATGGATTTTAAATTATAAAGAACCTGAAACTCTATTTGGAAAATGTCAAAGTTGGAATGAAAAACACTTTGTGCTTATTAGCATACGATAGTTAATCAGGAATTCTTTATCATTAAATATATTGTTAAGCATTATTATTATATTGTGATGTGATCGCAAATAGTGCAGCTAAATTTTAAAGTTTAATTTCAAATGTTAATCTTAAAATAAGATTCGTTTAGATGATTTACTTCAATTGGAACTTAATATATTATTGGCTTTTTGAAGTGTAAGGTATTGCATTATTAAATAAATATAAAGGTAAAATATTTTTAATGTCAAATTTTTCTAAACCACGTGATATCAGAAATTCATGATATGGAAATACCTTTCCCAGCCAGCCTTCACTTTATTGTTAATGCCACAATGATCATTTTCATTTCAATATTTTCCAAATGCAAGTTTTAGGTACACTTTAAAGAAGAACCTTTTCAGATTATCTTCTTTTATTATATCGACGAAGTTAAAAAAAAAAATATAAAAAAAAATATTTTATTGATAATAGTAAAGGATAAGTAAGAATCTATGAATTTCGTCATTGTTATAATGATTAATTTTACGCGTCGCATATTGATATTAATAAAAGTTGCTATTGTTTTAAAGAAAATAAAATCACATTATAAAAATATATTGTGTTTATAACTTTGTTTAAGCTTATATTATGTCGTATCTATTAAAACCTTTTCATAAACTTTTAAAGATATTTGCTACAGAATATGAAACTACTTCTTTTTTCTCTAAGTTCTCGTCAAAGTTCCTTGTTGGATATATGTTTGGCAGATCCTACTATTCTAACGAAAAAGATAAAAAATGGTGGATCAATAAAAATTACAAAACTATTAACAGAGTAAAGACTCATATTGCTTAATTTTCTGTTTATACATTCTATTACAAAATTTGGTCTATTTTATTCTGATTCTTATAGAATATGTAATTTAAAATGAGTTAAAAAATGCCACCAATGAGGCATCATGAGGTAGGTAGCATATGGAGAATTCACTTATCAATTTTAATAAGCATTAATAAAAAAACAGTCAGATGTTTTGTTTATACCGAAAGGTTTGCCTAATCCTACTTAATATCTAAATATATCTGGGCTATTTCTACACTTGAACTTTAGTAAACAAAAATAATATTGATTTTATCATATGTATTTGTAAGGCTAACTATTATTTGTGAAACTTCCAATACGTAAAGTCTTTAAAGTATAATGTCTATTCAGGATAAGGGATTTGGGAATATAAACATTCAGGATATATGGATTCGGAAATATGGGGTATTCTGGATGTAAGAATTCAGGAAATTGAATGTTCGGGATATCAGAATTCAGGAAATTAGATGCACAGGTAAATGGATGTTTCATTGCAATTCAGGAAATTGGGTTTCAGGAAATTGGCATTCAGGAAATTGTATATTTCGGTAAAATATCCAGTTCAGGAAATTTGCATTCAGGAAACTTGCCTTTGGAAAAAGGTATATTCAGGAAATTAGTAGTCGGAAACTTGTCGGATAAGGAAAATCATTATGTTTTTAATAAAAAAACTATCTCTGATATTAAAAATAATGTTTTATTATTAAAAAACAACTAAGAATGAACCTATTGTAAATATCAAACTGAACTTGAAGATTTCAATTACATTTGAACTTTTTTAGCAATATGTGATAGCATCAAATTATTATTGATTCAGCAAAAAATGATCTCATATAATGATTATAATAACTATAATATTTTAATGATTGTAATAATCAAAAATCACAAAGTTTAATTTTAGAAATTAATGATTTAAATATAAACAATTTTTCTTTAAATTGATACAGAATCTTACTAATAATTTAAATATATTTTAACAAATTTTACTTTAATTTGTAATATCTGAAAAGAAATATATAAACATTTTGTTAAAGCAAAAGAGATTGTTAATATCACTTTACTTGATAAAAAATTTAAATGAGTTACTAATAGATTTTTACATTCTTCTTCTTTTTCTTTAATTATTTCTTCTTTCTTTTTTCTTCCATTAGGTATAGTAATATCTGAACATATTTTGAACAGGTAGTGATTCGAACCCTTCACTCTAAATGGTTGAGTTTCCTTTTCTTTTGATTGGATTATTAGTCTAGAACTTTGATTTATTTTAATTTAGTTTAGATTATATATATTTTACTTACATTTAATAAAGATCTGCAAAAGCTACTTGCACTTAAAAAAAAAAAAATTTAAAAAGGTTTTTATTCTCAGAATCCCATTTTCCTAGCAAACCTCTGATAATTAAGATTGCTGGACGAAATCTAGAGTTCAGACAGGCGTCTAAATGGTAAAGGTAAAACTTGGTTAAATTATATTAAAACCTTATCGTTATGCGAAATTCGGAAAAAGTTAAAACTATCAAAGCTTATAAAAATGGCGAAACTAAAGGTTTAGACGTTTAGCCAATATGAGTTTAGACAAGCAACCTTTACATACAATATACTAAATATAATAAATTTAAATACTGCCAAAATTAAGTTTGATTTTATAATTCGGCCGGATTTCACATGAAATTTGCTCAATAAAAATTGACTACGATTGGGATTTCGTAATCAATTTCTTTTAACAGTTAATTGTTTTGCAAAGCAATTGACAAGCTTCACTTGCAATTATTTGTGAAAAAAAAAAATATCGAAGTAAAGTTAATGTCATTAAGTTATGGCATTATCGACCTGAATGGTAGTTTAAAATATTAGTTTCCAATTTGTTTTTTTATAAGACAGTATATTTTTACTTGATGAGATTCTAATGATTCTATTAAAAAATTATTTGTAAGCGTTGGAAGCAATTGGATAATGTAATTGGAATTTTAGAATTTTTTTTTTCAATATTTTAATGCAGGCAACTACAAAAAAAGTAAAACTTATGCCGAAACCGGAGATTCCCCGTATGATTGATTGTATAATTCATTCATTTTTTTTGTTAATCTATACCAAATAAATTTGATTGTAAAAATGTATCCGTTTTATGCTTTGCTGAAATAGGAAATTAATTTCCGGCATTAATCAAATGGAATTCATTATTATACAAATATATAATCTTTCAAGAAAGTCGAATTTGTCGAAGTACAATTTGGAAAATAAGAATTTCTTTATCTACTGTGAGGGTATTTACAGAATACTTGAAACTTGTATGGTTTGATTAAATATAGACATCCTTTATATTAAAGATCGACTAATATACGATCAGCTGATATTCGCGTCTTACGTACAATAAGAAAACAGTTTCGTATTAATATCCTTCGAATTATGAGTAAATCAGATAATTTTTGAGTCAACCTTACTTAACTAAAAAAAAAATGAATTCTCGACAATCTATCAAAGAACTAGAACGATATAATAATGAAATAACTGCCAAGTTTGAGGAAGTCAAACAGGAATCCATGAATTTTAACGAAAGTCTTGTGCGTAGAATTCAACAATTAGAAAATGATTTGTCACAAGTGAAGCATATAAATCAAGAATTAATGGAAGAAAATGGAAGGTTGAATTCTATAATGCAGGTAATGATTTATATAAAAAATTATTTAATGTTTAATATTTTTTTCTATTAACTGACTCATATTTTATATTTTTTTACTTTAGCGAAATGACTCTGGTTCAGAAAAAAAACATACAGAACAAGTTACTAATGATACTGAGAGTATTTTCCCGCAAGATGATACTCTTTCTGCCGAGTTGGATCGTGCATCTTTATTAAATACTATTATGCCCTTTAGCGAGCGTGTTCATAAAGAGAGTGATCATGCTATCATTGAAAGTATGTATTTAATAACTATTGATAATAATTAAAAATTTAACTTTAATTTATGATGTATTCTATTTTGATATAGAATTACAAGAAAAAGTTAGGTCTCTTAATGACGCCAATAAGTCTATGAGTCTTTATATTGAAAAGATTCTTAATCGTATTATGGAAGCTCAAGGTTTTGAAGAAGTTTTATCTTCGGCACCAGAAAGGAAAAATCCATCGGCACCCAATTCTGCAATACCTACTACTACAAGATCACTTAGTCTCAATCATAAACAGAAACAAGAAAACAATACTAAGAAATTTGAAAGACGTAAATCTTGGTCTGGAAGTCACGAATGCAGCAATTTTCAAATTAAAAATAGTGGTAGGATATTAAACGACAAAATAATAGTTGAAGAGCCAGATCAGATTTGTTATCCTTTACCAGGTGTTAGAAAATCAAGAGGAGAAACAATTACTCTTGGTGAAGCACAAAAACACATACAAAGAAAAAGTTCCGCATCAAGTGCTAAAAATACAAAACGTTTTAGCATCTTTAATTGGGTTGGAAGTGTAACAAAAGAAGAGAAGAAGGAAGATCCATTTATGAAACCTATGATCCTCGTACAAGAAAAAGAGAGAAAAGGATCAAATTATATATGAAATGATCTTTGTTATACTCGGGTTTCTCAATTAATTTGTTTAACCAATTTATTAATGAGTAGCCAGGGATTCTTTGTATTTACTTTTCCATTTAACATTATGTTTTTTGCGACTTTGATGTAAAATATATATATTTATATATTTTAATTTTTATTTAATTTTTAATAAATGTCACATGATTAATGAGCATAAAATATATTTCATTAAGGGTTAAATATACGTATAGGTAACCTTATTTTTGTGTGTGGAACCAAGCAAATAGTGAAATTTGATATTTGGATTTCGATTTCCTTTATCAACTTAAAATCGCAATTTTGCATGAAAAATTGATATCTTTTAAATAATATAAAGAAATTTAATATGTAACTCAAGTGATCATAATTAAAAAGATTTCGTCCACATCGGTGGAATTTCCTTCGTTTGAAAATCACGTGAAATATAATATAATGTGTCACAAGAAATGAATGCTTTTTTGCCCATTTTCTGCTGCGCTAAACTCGGCTTTATATAGTAAGATATGCGACAATTTCATCAAAATTACTTATTTAAAATGTATTATAACGATATAGCCATTACAAAATTTGATTATTAAAATACAAAAAATTCAAAGCAGCAATTGAATCTTCTGAAAGAGCATGTTGTCTATCACTAAACTAAGAATATTGGTATATGCTGAAAAACCCGTTCCAGATACTGGAAGCCAAATATAATTCTAAGCTAATCTTGATTAAATTTGGCTCCCCATTGGGAACGATCATATGATTTTGATCTTAATGCTATAAGCGAAAAATGCGAATTTCAATTAATCTGCGGCAGCATATGCTATTGCAATTTCTGCGCATATTATGCCGTCACAGAAAATGGGCCACCCTACTTTTGTCTCATGCTGACAAAATCCTTCGTACCTATTTTTCAGTAAAAATATTAAACAATATGAAATGATCTTTTGAGTAAATAAATAATTATACAGTATATGTAAAATTAAAATTCAATGATGATATAAATGAGCTATCCAACGCATAACAGAATCTAAATATAGCACATCACATTTAATATAATTTGTTCAAAGGCTATTAGTAGTAGCAGCATGGATACTACCAAACATTGATTATTTTGTAAGTCAATCATTTCAACCCTTGAACTCAATGCCATAATAATTATGTCATAACAAAGGATATAAATTAAATTTAAAAATAATAATTGTTTTACACCTAAATTTGGAAAAAAGATTCGTTGCACGTGTATAGTACGACGTTATCAGCGATGAAAGAAATGACGTTAACGGCAAGCAATCAGGTAACTAATAATGACAAATTACCAAGCCATTTCTCGGTAGAATTAAAGATCAAAAATCAATAAATAAAAAAAAATCAAAGGCTTTGTTTCTTTTTAATCAGCAAGCTGTGGATGACCCGGATTTAGTCAGCCACATAAGTCAGGCTAAGTCAACCTCAACATTATATAAGTACCTTTTTTTCCATCGGAAAAAAAAGTTGATTGAAAAACACTCGAAATTTAAAACAAAAATGGCCACGTTACATTCGTACATTGGTGGAGTGGTTGGACTAATAGTCGTATGTATTTTATTTTAACCCTTGTTAAAGATTATTTCATTCAATGCTTTAATCCTTTTCATCTTTAGTTGATTCTTGATCTGATTGCTATCTTCGAAATTCTGAAAAGTAACCGTGATACAATTAATAAACTGCTTTGGATCTTGTTAATTATTGTCTTCCCTGTAATTGGCTGCATTCTGTACTAGTAAGTATTCAAATGTACTTTTTTATTATATTTTAAACGCGCAAATAATTAAATTTATATATTGTTAAATCTTTTAGCGTCTTTAGTCACAGGAAGGATCATATAAAATGATCAGTTTGCCTTGATTAATGTTTTGTATTAAATAGTTAATCGTAATATATAATTTTGTAATAGAAAACAATTAATAATTCTTGCATGTTAAAAAAAAAATGGAATATTTAATCCTTTTTTCTTTTCATCTATTCACTTTTTTTTCGAACAATTTCTTTTATTAATCCGAAAATATCATCTTTCGTAAATCCCAATGTTTCGCTAATAAAATAAAATAAAAAAGCCTCCGTGTTATTTTACTGAGTGGCGCAAGAATTAACATATTAATTATTCTTTTGATGAGGATGTTTCACTTTAACATTTTGTTATATAAAAAAAGGATATTTTCTAATTTTATAGATCCTTACGTTGATATCTCCAATTATTTGTCTTGTTCGGATAACAATATTCTTTACAAGTAAAAAATTTCATCCACGTGTGATTTAAGAAAAAGGTCGTATTATATTAGTTTTATTTTCAAGTTTATATAAAATTTATTATTAAGTAAATTTTATATATTACCCTAAAAAAATTAATTTCCGCTTTAAACCGGAATATTAATTATAATTAATTTAGCAAATTTTCAAATGATATTTATTTTAATATATTATTGGTAATTTAATATATAATATAATTATAACCTTTTTTAAAAATTATATTTATACAATTTGATTTGATATTTAAATATTCAATTTGAAAATCAAATCAAATACAAAATCAAATTAATTATTAATAATGATATATTCACAATTTTAAAAGTATTTTTTACTAATAACTTTAGTAAAAATGTATGTGTATTTGATGAGAAACACTAATATAAAATATCTCCAAAATTGCAAAACATTTTTATTAAAATTTCTTATAAAACATTTTCAAAGTTTCAGAAGCATTATTACTAATGTTTTTTAAATAAAAAAAAATCTTTGAAATCCTAAAAGCATTTTTATTAATATTTTTTTTATAAAGCTAAGGAGCTTATTTTAATAATATATTTTCTTAATAAACTTTAAAATAACTTTATTTTAATATTTTAATTAACTTGAAAAAAAATCATATTAAGTTTAAATTGCTTTAATATTTAAGTTTATCCTATAAATGTATAATTAGATTAAGATTAGAATATTATTCTATAATAAAGATATTTCCAATATCTTTTTAATAAAATTTTGTATTCTTTATACTTTATAAATTAGTATATTGTTTTATTAAAAAATACTTACCATTATTTTTTTAAATTTTTTAAAAAAAATATTATATAATAATCAAAAAGTTATTTTATAATAAATAACTTTTATTATAATTTGATTATTTATTCTTATTAATAGACTTAATTTATATTATAAAAATATATATAATACTACCTTTATTATATTATACAATAAAATTAATATTATATTTTTTCTGCTTAAAAATATTAAAAACATAAATTTTTTTATCATCTTAAAATAATATAAATTTAAATTCATTATTTTATATAACTTTTTTATTATTAATGCTTTATAAACGTTTTTAACATATCTAATTTAAATAAATATTTGGTTGATTTTATTAATATTAAGCTTTTTAATATAATATGACTAGTATTTAAAATTAGCTATAGAAGTTACACAAATGCAGATATTTTTATTTATGTAAATATAACTAATAGATTTTTGCATATACTGTATATTACCTTAAAATTTTTAAATACGACCTGCACAATAATTTGGTATGCATATAAAATATATTAATTAATATGTATAAAATGTGCATGTAAAATTTGATCAAAATCTTGTATATTTACTATTTAATTTGTTTTATGACTAATAAAGTAAATTGGTTACTTTTACATTTAATAAAATTATATATATAATATATGTGCATTTATATTGATTTCATATATATATAAATATGCATATATTTTATAATATTGCTTGGTTATCTGCACATTGTACAAGAATTTTTTGACTTAAATTTTAAATACTAAATATGACCATTATATTTATTTAATATAATATATTTATTTTAATATTATATATATTTTTCTAATAAATTTAATAAAACTTTTTACTATTTTATCTACTTATTATTTATTCATTTTAATTAATTTTATTAAAATATTCTTTTAAAGTATAATACTAATAATACCTGAAAAAGTAATATCAATATTTATTAATTATTATATAATACAAAATTTATTTATATAAATAATAAATTTATTATAATTATAGATTGTTTGCTAATTTTAAGAATAATGCTAAATCTTTTAATTAAAAATATATAATTAGATTTATAACTTTATAAACTTTTTTTAGTTATTATAATCTTATAATATTTTAAGATTCTTAATAAATTTACTAATAATTTATTTAATAGTAAAGATTTTTAGATATAATAGTTAAATTTGATAATTTTTCTTTTTATAAATATTATTTTATTTTTTTAAAAATTATTTATTATTTTCTTTAAATTGTAAGAATTAGCAAACAAATTTATCTGCTTATTTATTATAAATTTCCTTTTGATTTATTTTAAAATTTTCAAACAAATTTTTTTTTAAAATTAATTTTATAAATATGTAATATAATATATTATTTAATTATATATATATAAAAATATAAGGATATTTAAAAGTTATAAATTTTATAATCTTTAAAAATTGTATTATAATTAATATATTTAAAAGTAAAATCTAATAAATTTATTATATAGTTCTTCGTTATATTCTGAATTAATTAATCATAAATTTTATTATAAAAAAAAACTTTTATTATTATATTTTTTTATAATTTATTAAGAAATTTATGTCTTTTATTAATGATAATAATGTAAATATATGAATTTTTAAATATTTTAAAATATTTTTAAAAATTTTATTATAATAATTTATTTAAAATCTAATTTAAAATTAAATATTTTAAATTTTTTAAATAATTATTAATAAAGTTGATAAAATATATTAAGCTATATTTTTTTATAATAATAGTAATTATTAAAATTAATATTTTATAAATTAATATTTTTTTTTAAATTTTACTATCAAATTATCTATCATAATGATTTTTTTATAAAATGTAATAAATTTTTATATATTTTTGAACAAATTTTAATTAAACCTTTAGTAGGGCAAAAATGGGATTTCTGGGACAGAATTCAAAATAGTACTCAGA